AATTAGTGCTCTGCATTTAACCCATCGAAAGTGCACACACACCCGGAGCAGTGGGCAGCCATTTATGCTGCGGCGCCCGGGGAGCAGTGGGGGTTCGGTCTCTCGGGGTTCAAGGGCGCCTCAGTCGTGGTATTGAAGGTGGGAGAAAGCGCTGTACATTCACTCCCCCCACCTACAATCCCTGCCGGTACGAGACTCGAACCCGCAACCTTTGGGTTACGAGTCTGACTCTCTAACAATTAGGCCACAACTAATTATACAGAAACGCTGTACATTAGTGTTATAATAATAATAATAATAATAATAATAATAATAATAATAATAATAATAATAATAATAATAATAACAACAATAATAATAATAATAATAATAATGCAAAATCTATGCAAATTAGATTTTGAGCAATTTTCCAACATGGATAGTGCATTGAATGCCATCTGCTGGTAAAAAACAAATAGTACCCATAGGAGCTACAGGATTTCTTTTCTTTTTTTTACTCTTTCCACATCATGCAAGTGTCACATTACTGTTACTAATACTAATCCACTGTTTATATACATGGTAAATGTCTTACTCCTTGTCTGGCTTTGTCCTCACTGTATTGTGCTGCCACCTCACTGAAGCGCATGCCAGACTTGAGTTTCTCCATTGCTTCCATACACTTGCCATGCTTTTCACACAGAATATGCCGAACCTATCAGAAAATAGACACACACAAAAAAAGGATACATAATCATTAAAACTGTCATTCATTTGAATGGCAGTTTGGCAGTGACAATAGTCACAATGTGACTTCACATCATTCATTTAAATTGCACTAGATCAGAAAACACAACAGATGGAAACATTTAAAGCAAAAATGTGAAAAAGTTAATCTAATTTCATATATTAATACCTATATATATATATACAGTGGGTACGGAAAGGCAAAAATGTCAACAATTCTGTGTTTTTCTGTCAATATGGGGTGCTGTGTTTTACATTTATTCCAAAATAATAAGAAAAGGCAGTAACAATACAAACAATATATTTTATTTGTCAACTGATGTTCAGCTGTTCAACTAGTGAATTTTACACTTTTTTATGTCACATTTTGTAATACTTGCGTTGTTTTATTTCTGTAATATCGATAACTTTCTCATCCAGTTTTTTTCTCTCTAAAGAGACTCTGCCTCCCTTGCCTTGACTGATGGCAGAAGCCGTACAACACACAAACATCAGAAATTCATTCATCTTAAATTATGATCCTTGCGGCTTTGAGGTTATGTACATTTTGGCAGGTTCATTTTACATTCTTTTCATGCACGCAAATTAATAAAGTGATGAATGGGCTGTTCAATTAAGTATAGAATTTTTGTAATAGCTACAAGAAATGAAGATTGAGAAATGAAATGTTTTTTTTATTACAATTTGTATAACTACGGTTTTACCACAAATAGCATGCTTAAACTATGGTGAGTGTAGCAAAATGTTTTAACTGTAATAACCCTTTTTTATTTGTTGCAAAACCATGTGTAATTTTCGTAAGTTTTGTTGCAAACAATTTTTACTGTTATTTTATAATGAAAAACAGTAGTAATATATTTATAATATTAATAGAAAGCATTCAGAAAAGTTAATTTTAATTTTAATGTTAGAAAAGATAATTTATGTCATGTACTGTAAATGCTCTACAGGTTTGAGGCATTCATTGTAACATTAGTATATACACCAAATATTTTGACCATACTTTCTTCTTTCACAGCAGGAAAACATTTTTGAGAGACACCAGGACTGCAGCTGACTGGTCTGGTAACAGAAATTGAAATGGATTTTTTTTATATAAAAAATTGATGATGCATACTAAATACCAACAAGCAGATGAGCACCAAATTAAATCCCTACACAAAGCTGCGTGGGCAGAAAGTTCTCCAGCGGAACTGTTCACTTTTGTATTTGGGAAAAAAAAGAGTATGAGGTGTTCTGCACAGAAATGGTGTCAGGATCATGGACCTGTTTTGTTGTGTTTTGCCCCTGTTTTTGTTCCTGTGTTCCCTTATTTGGTCATGTTCCTGTCTTCGTTTAGTTTAATTAGTCATTCTGTGCACCTGTGTTTGTTAATTATCCCTTGCATTTAAGTTCTTGTCAGTGCATTTCTCCTCTGTCGGGTCTACTCGTTATGTGCGTGTGTTTGCTCCAGTGCCTATTGTGTAGATATCCCCTGTGTTCCTTGGATTAAAGTCTGTTTACATTTCCTCGTGCCTCCTGCGTGCTTCCTCAGCAGCGTATCGTGACAAATGGTTGATAAAGCAAAGTACAAAATCTTTACCAGATTTGAGGAAGAATGAGTCATCCTTCAGGATCATAAATAAAAAAATCAATCAATGATAAAAATACATAAAAAATCTATAAAAACTTAAGTGTCTCAATTAAAATGGTCTCATGATTATTTTAAATCTATATATATACACACACACACACAGATACATATGGTCACACTTTAGTTTTGGGTGCAATTCTCACTATTAACTAACTATTGACTTTTGTCTCAAACTATTAATTACTGTTCAGGTATAGGGTAAGACGTAGAATATGGTCACTCACAATAAGGCATTAGTATGTGCTTTATGAGTACTAATAAACAGCTAATATAGTAATATGCAAGCAACTAGTTAATAACTAAAGTGTTACATTAAATAAATGTTTGCATGTGTGTGCGTATATACAGTATTGTCTAGCGGCAGCTGGGCACTCCTTATCTGTGTTCTTTATGGGAAAATGCTTATGCAATTTAGCTTATTGGGTTCATATTCTGATCACATCTGCTTGCCGGTGTATAATATGCACCATCAAATCTTTTATTTAAAAATAAAACAGGGTAGTTTACCGCAGAAACGGTGACAAACGATCGTGACTCCTGGAACGAACTCTGGCAGTTGTTACATAAAACGTATAATAATAATAATACAATTGTGGGAACTTTGCATCATCATTTAAAAAAAAACACCACCGCACACCACTGAGAACAGTGTAGTTTTTACCGAGCAAACAGCAGAAACGGCGAGAAAGACTGCGGCAGCTGGCACTCTCTCTGGCAGCTGCCGTGGCATCTAGGGATGCCACCGGAAGTGGCACTGCAACCTGCCGCTGCCAGAGAGAGTGCCAGCCCCTGCTGAGTTTTTTTTTTATTATTAAAATGTTTTAAATAGTTTTTATTTTCATGTTTTCATTTTTAGTTTTAGTAATTTTGTTGTGTGTTCTTGTTGTTATGTTTGCTTGTTTTTTAACAGGTCTATATATTTTTTATTAATTTGTATTTTAGTTTGAGTTATTTTAGTACATCAGGTTAAACTAAATGAAAATGAGAATTTTTGCTTGGGCAACTAGCTGAAATAATGTTATAATACGTTATATATATATATATATAATTTCAGTTAGCATTTATAGTATTTGTATGTAACATTTTTATGCAGATACAGTATACAGATGTTTACCTTTACAGCTGTACCACCTTTCTGAGCCTTCTCCTTCTTATCACTGTCCCCACTGCCTGAAGCAGCAGCCCCTGTCCAAATACAAATGTATATTAGTATCTTAAAAGTACAACTATGCAACTAAGATAATACCTATGCATTTGTATGTGCACTTGCTCTATTAAGCATTTTGAAATAACCATATTAAGCGAATCCCACATTTGGCACTTTGACACATTTAGTAAAGATCCAATAGCCTGAAATGTTTCATTAACACTAGATTATACAAAAAAAATCAACAGAAATACAGCAGAGTGTAACAATGTTTACAATCCGTAAACCATAAACACTACCAGGTAGCTAGCATGTCAGCATAAATATTAGTGCAGCAATCAAATGATATGCTATAAATGTCGATATGGTGTCATTTGTTAGATTTTGTTCATGAAGCATCATATATTTGTTGTTAACCTTTAGCGCCTTTGCCACCCTTTCCTTTCGGTGGCATCTCCTCGTGTCGGATTAACGTTACACCTCAGCTAGCACAGAAGAGCTAGTCACAGATTCCCACGCGGTTAGACTGAAAACTACACAGCAGCTTTTTTTTTAGCCTACAGTTTTTTATTTATCTATTTATGGTAATGACCAATAGATGGGTTCATATGTTTTTTTTAAAAAATAAAACAGATTATAATAGTAGAATTGTCAATGACATTTCTGCGCAAATGTGCCCAGCAATCAGTGTTGCCAACTTAGCAATTTTGTTGCTAAATTTAGCTACTTTTCAGACTACCCTAACAACTTTTTCTTCCAAAAGCACCTAGCAAAAAATTTAGCTATTTTTTTTTAAATGAACTTTTCAGCTTTTAGCAACTTTTGATAAGTGACTCAAACGATAAAAAGGCACAATTTACCATTTAAATTACACAAAAAGAGGAAACCAAAGATGCCTAGCACTAGCAGTACACACGTTACAGGAATTAAGTTAGCTGCTATTTGCAATTGTTTAATAGTAATGATAATAATAATAATTGAATGCTGTTATTTTTCATTTATGAGACACTTTGTTAGTAGCTTGTACCTGCGATTGTTGATGAGTTACACTGTTTCTTACAGTACACTGTAAGAAAAATATGCAGAAAAATGGAAAAATATTTCTTACATATCTGGTGTTTCCTTTAGACAGACATTTCTTATCCAGAAGATAAGTGGCCGTAATCATATCCAGCTCTTAACTGGACAAATGAAATGTTCCTGCCAGTAGCAAGGGAATAAAGAAGATGTTTGGTGATTTGCTGGTGTCATGGAGAAATATGATAAAGTCCTGACTCTTGGCGGAGGAGGAGCAGGTGTGGTGATGTTAATGAAACATGTCGATACAAAGAAATTATGTGCAGTCAAGAGAATACATGTGGACAGTTCCCGAAAAACAAAGACCAAAGATGTGTTGCAAGAGGCAGATATTCCCAGGAGCTTGAAGCATCCTCATATTATAACATGGATTGACACTTTCTTTGACACAACTAATGAGCATATTTACATTGTTATGGATTATTGTGATGGTGGAACGCTGGACGACCACATTAAAGAGCAGAAGAGTGGGGAATACTTTGCAGAATGCAAAATTATGGACTGGTTTGTGCAAGTAGTCATGGCCGTCAGTTATGTCCACTCTGAAAAGATCCTTCACAGAGATATCAAGCCTTCCAATGTGCTGTTAACCAAGAGAGGTGTGATTAAGCTTGGGGATTTTGGAATATCAAAGATTATGAACCACACGCTCGATATGGCCTCCACCTGTGTGGGAACCCCCAGTTATCTGAGTCCTGAACTCTGTCAGGATGTCCCATACAGCACTAAATCTGACATATGGGCTGTCGGCTGCCTTCTGTATGAGCTTTGTGCCCTCAAACCAGCATTTGAAGCTAAAAATCTCCTGAGTCTGTTTTACAAGATCATCACAGGAGAGTACATCAAGATCCCCGAGAGGTATTCAGAAGACATTCATACATTAATCGAGAAAATACTGTCCTTGGTTCCTGAGAATAGACCGAGTGCGAGCAGCATAGCATGACCTATATGCAAGAACATCTGGGAAACTTCAAACTTACAAAGGTGAATGCTCAAACAAAAGAAGATCTTAATGAAGAAATGCCATCGATGGAAAGCAGATCAGATAGTGCCTCAGCTGTCTCTGACAAGACACTGCAAACAGAGGCATCATGCAGTGCTGAGGAAGAAGTGGCCCATGAAGGAACAGAGTCTGATTATTCAGAGGACTTTGATGAACGTGATAGCTATGCATCCTCAGAGGATGTTTCGAGGGAAGACGAGTCCTCCAGCCTTGCCAATGTGGTTGAAGAGGACTCTATTGGTAAGAGTGTGATGTAACCATATTAATATTTTCCATTGTTTTATTATTATGAGTTATATCTCCAAGGCAACAGGCCTAGTCTGATGGTGATCTAAGAATGATTTCCTATTTTTCCTGGCTTTTCCAACACCTTTGAGGATTATTTACATGTGTTTTTCTTCACTTTTGACAGTTGTGTTTGAAGACGAAGACATCTCTGACTATCCAGATGACTTTGAAGAAGCTGAGGATGATGACCTGGTTGAAGTGGTCAGCTACGCCAGAGATGCCATCAACTGTGTTTCAGAGAATGACGTGTTTGATGTGGAACTGGAGCTCAAAGATGAAGGCGGTTTCTCTGTTAAAAGAGAGATACATGGGTAAACATGCAAATGTAACATTTTACTACAAATTGATTCTTTTTTTTTTCTTTTATCACTTGATTTGTTGTTGTTTTTTTCCCTTGGTGTGTCTTAATTAAATCAATGATGAATTTACCAATCTGCTTCAAATTTAGGTTTAACAATCAAATGAGATTTTTACATGTTTACATCAAGGTTGCAGTGGTCTAGTGATTTGGAGAACATGATTTCTATCATTACTGTTTCAGAACATTTAAAATAATTCAAATAATTGAAAATCTCTCTCTCTCTCTCTCTCTCTCGCTCTCTCTCTATATATATACAGGGGTGCACATAAGTGGTCCAAAAAACTAAAATAAAGTGCAATATTATTATCAGTCTTATTAATTTTTTTTTATAGTTACATTTAATGGGTAACAGTATATGCAATGTGAGGACCAAACCAAATCTCCAGGTTCTCATATGAGAACCAGGTTGAAAAACTTATGTGCACCCCTGTATATATACACACACACACACACACACATACATAGACTTTGTCTTTCATCTTCTAGTACATCTGCAGATATCAGAGTAGTTCTGGATACTGCTTGCCAACACATCTGGTTCTCCGAGTGTCTCTGCATACTCAAGTAAATGCTTTTCTGCTTTCTGGATTTATAGAGGATGTTGGAGCCTCAGTCTATGAGGAAATCAGTGGGCATTTTCTAAATGGCCTCACGCCAGAAGACCTGCAGCCACAATTCCAGCACATAATAGGGACAGACCATCTGGAGACCTGTTGCCTCATACTGAATCATGTCTGTTCAATTTAGAGAAAGTCATTTTCTGTTATTCTCTAATGATGAGTCATTCTTTAAAGATGAACCCCAGCAAATGATGGAATTGTATGAAGCATACAGAGTATTTTAAATACAGCGTTTTGTAATATATGTAATCCTATATGAATTATAATTAATATTTTGAAATAGTGAGGTCTTGTAGATATTTGACATCAAGAAAATGGGACGTTTGAAACTCCTTTGAAAGTGTTACCTTGTATAACCAGAAGGTGGTACTCTAAAGTAAGAAAATGTGTCTGGTGTTAACATACCAGTCCAGAAAATGAGCATATCATAGTCTCCCATATCAACACTTTTAGCTCATCAAAGGGACTGAAGTATAAAACAGCTGCCTTTTAAATTTACTATATTGTGAATACAAAAATTAATTATATCAGTGGCACCCAGTCAACTACTTTTTCAAGTGATTTAACCCATTTTTCTGCCTAGAGCTGAGAAATGATCTCTTAAAACAGCCGTTAAACAATGCTTATAAATGTGAAAGCAGTGGAGAATATCATGTGAACATTTCCTGCTGTGATTTCACTCCACTATTGCAATGTGAAACAGAAGATATTTGCTGAATTTGTAAATTTATGGGCCACAGCTGCAGTTGTTTTCCACTTAAACCACGTTTTCCCTTAAACTTGTCCAGATTATTCCAACAGATAATTAGAGATAGAGAAACTGCCATGTGAAACTGTATGAATGACCCTGCATTATATTTCATTTAAGATTCACTTCACGACCTGCCTTTAGACGTAAGTGTGTTATCAAGCAAGCATTAACATGGGAAAGCAGCATCATTTTTTTTTGCCATTATAAGATGACATACTGTAGATGTCCTCACATAATGTGGTTTTGGCTGTAGATCCTTTTTCATCAAAAATCAAGGCCATGTTGGTGTCAAACTGAGTATGTGTTTTTATAGATGGAGAGGCATAAACAGATGTAGAATACCTCTACCCACCAACTTACAAACTTAAAAATGCGTTTTCACTTCAACTTAAACTGAACATTGAAAATGTAAAGTCATTCCCACAAAATATATTTATTTTTCATGTTATGTCTTGGAAAGTGTAAAACATGGATCAAGGAGTCATTCAGGATAGAGCTTTAAAACTTTTCCATAAACCTGATGGATTACAATGTGTTTCTTTATTTATGCATCTATGCATTTGTATGAGTGGATGAGAGACCAGAATAGATGCAGACATGCCTGAGACCGCTTTAAGTAGCAATCACCTCTATGCCTTGTCACTTTAAAACCTGTCAATATTTCGTCCATAGTAAAACTAGGGGGAGAGCTTGTCACTTGTGTCTTCAGGGCTTTGCACTAAGTTTGATGCATTATTGATTGATTGCTGCGTGAGTGCTCCACCCTTCAGCTCAAATATGCTTTCTTCTTGCTTTTTTTTTGCATATTATTCAAAAAAGAGGCTAGGGTCCTAATTAACAGTCTTTCTTTATTTTTGAGTTGGAGTTTTTGACATGCACCATTCAAAAAAAATAAAAAAACAATCAGAAAAATTACAAGTTGATCTTTATTCACTTGTTGTGTTGTTGTTTTCCTTGGTGTGTCCTAATTATATTTTACTTCAATGATGAATTTAACAACCTAATGTTTATAGTCAAATGAGATTTGTACATGTTGCTGCCAAGGTTGCAGTGGTCTAAATTAATATTTGGAGAGCATTTAAAGACTATTGTTTTAAAGCATTCAAAAAATTATTACTGAAATAAAATTTTATAGGAATATATATATATAATGCATATATATTTAATGGGAATAGAAAATAGAGTATTTTAACTTTTATAATCACACTATAACCGATTTCTGTAATTTGAACAGTAAGTTATTATAATTTACAGCAATCTCTACATAATATATCGATACTGTACATTTTCGTGAAAAAAAATATATTCAAGCGTCAGGTTTTAATATGCAATTAGCTTTGTTTGCCTATTATTGCTGATCTGCAAAAATCAGTAATTTTTCTTCTTATAGGCCATGTGCTTTTGTCTGGGGAACTGCCCCATTCTTTGGCAAACATATTCAGAAAAATTGTCTTTAACAGTCATTATATTCCAAAGAGAAAGAAAGTGCTCCAGAGAGAATGGGAGGAAACTCAGGAAAACATGTTTCCCCTGACCTTTAATAGACAGCACATGTCTGGCCAATCGGTGTGAGATTTCTCTGCTAGATAGAATTGATTAGCATACTGCTCCTCACACATGTGTTCCATTGAAAGCTGGATGTTTACATTCCTCATTTTCTTATCAGAAAATATTTTACGGAAAACATTAGTTCCAGCAGTACTGTAAATCTAACCCACTTGACTCATTCCTTCAAGACCAGGAAGGAGGTAAAGAAACATGCATGATAGTGAAGCACACAGCATCAGAGTTTTGTCCCTCTTCCAAGCAGCAGAATACAACAAACAATAATAACCTCCAGGCTGACTGTTTTTTGTCAGAGCACTAAAATATTGATGTGCCATTGTTTCCGGTGAAACAGCCCCACTGGAGACCAGTGAGTATTAGAGAAGTGAGGTGGAAGATGGTGACAGTAGCCTGCACTCTAACCTGCTCCAGATGCATCTCCAGAGACAGCACAGATCACAAAGCACATCTCCCTGTGAAAAACAGCCCTATTCTAACCCAAGACCACAGGGACTAAAAGCAGCACTGAAAATGACATCTAACTCATCAGCTACGACTGTGTATGAAAGCAAATAGCTTTATCCAGCGGGAGAATAAAAACCACATGTACAGGTAAGGTTGATGGCACTTTACCTGATCTCAGCATCTTGAGCTGACGCTAGGATCAAAATAACTACGACAACAGCTGTCTGAACGGCTTATGTCAGGATTGTACAACATGAATCTAACCATGAAACTATGAAACTGTACAGCAGTGATTTCTACTACAGTTCAGCTGTTAAATATATAGGTTTATAGGTGTTACTACTTTGAATAACCATATGCTCCAATTAAATGTTTCTCAGTTATTTAGAAAACACCAGCTGATTACTATAGAAGCCTGTTTAGGCCTTAGAGTACAAGAAATGAAAAAGATATGCAATTGTGTCGAAATATGACTTTTTTCTCCACAATGTGATTTTAAATTTCAAACATGTGACTTTGTTTCTTATAATTGCGACTTAACTCAAAAAAGGAATTTTATCTCCTAATTATGATTTTATCTTACAATATGACCTTAAATTTCGCAGATGCAATGTTTATTCTCATTAACTATAATTTTATAACTCACAATATGACTTTATGTTTTATAACTCACAATGTGACTTTAAATCTCTCATTACAATTTCGTCAGAAATGTGATTTTAAATCTTGCAGTTGCAATTTTTTTTCTCATAATTGCAATTTTGTAACTCACAGTGACGATATGATGCAATGCTTTTATATCACCAGAATGTGACCTTACATCTCACAGTTGCGACAGTTTCTCATAACTGCAGTTTTATAACTCACAATTTAATTGTATATCTCTCAATTGTGATTTTATCTCACAATTTGACTTTAAAGTTTTTAATTTGAAAGTTTAAACAATTAATATTTAAATTTGCAACGCTTCTTTCTTATAACTGAGTTTTTATAGCTCATAATGTGACTTTATATATGACTTCATATCTCCAGAATGTAACTTTAAATCTTGCAATTGTGACATTGTTTCTCACAATATGACTTTCTATCTCCCAGTTGTGATTTTATATCTCCACAATATCTTTTTAAATTTCAGAGATGCGACATTATAACTCACTATATGACTTTATAATTTTCTCTCAATGACATTAGGCCTAAATATTGCAATGCGACTTTAAATTTCACAACTGTGACTTAGTTTCTTATAATTGTGATTTTATAACTAATTTATCTTATTTTACACTTTATCTGAGGTGTGAGTCTTGGTTCGATCTCTGCCCAGTCTTAGGGTTGCGGTGTGACAGTTTAATAAGAGCTATTGTAGATGCCCTTGTAAATGATCAGTGTCAACAGAGTGCACTTTATGGAGTGTGTAGTGTGCTCCTGAGAGGATTATCCAATGACGAGAGGTGATAGGGGTCTTTACGCCCTTCAGGCATTAGCCGAAACTGCCAGAATGTCATTTCCAACTTTGTAAAATTGATTTCAGAGTGCAAAGCTCTGACAGTGACACCCGTGCCACATGAGGGATTCTGTGGATATTATCACTGAAATTTGGTATTTTAAGTCATGCATGGACAGATGTTTTCTGGTCTCAAGAATAGTATTTTGTCCTTCAGTGACAGTTATGTCACAGAGAAAGTCTTTAAAGGACCCCAGATTAGGATGCAACGGAGAGCAAGATCAATTTCCCCCCCTCAGAGCCTTTAATCCAGTTTATTGGAGGTCCAGTAACACTCAGCACAATAATGTGATATTAAAGGGTATTGGTCCCATTCTGCTATTGTGGTTGCTGGTCTGTAATCTTCCTGTGAAGGTATCTCACAGGAGCTGGATCCATATTTTACAATAAATGATGCAGATAATTTGGACCACTCAAAAGTGGAGTATTTGATGTACTGGAACAGTAATAGGCCTAAAGCAGTTTTGTGATCCCTCAGGCATCTCTTCAACATTAGGATCTCCTAGGTGTTTGTTTTTGATTCACTCATAATTCACAGTGAAGCACTCTGACATTTGAAAGTTTAGAAGCTTGTGCCCATAGAGGAACATGGTAGCACTTTTCTACCGAAGATGGCATCTGTGTGCGGGATTAGACCTATGAATGACTGGAAAAAAAAAATCTTTATATAGCCAGTAGGTGGCGATTTTTTAAATTCACACTACACACGTTAAAACCAAATGGAACATACTTCTTTTAACGTTTAAAGTTTGTTTCACAGTAATTGGTTTCAGACGCAACTACTGTCTTTACACTCTAAAAAATGCTGGGTTGAATACAACCCAGTGCTGGGTAAAATAGGGACAGACCCAGCAACTGGGTTGTTTTGACCCAGCGGTTGGGTTAAATGTTTAACCCAGCCTTCTGGGTAGTAACCCAACCGCTTGGTCAAAACAACACAATTGCTGAATTGAATCGATTAATTCAGAAACTAAACAAATGACTAGATGCATCTGAAATTGCATATTGAGTAAGTACTATAAGAACTTACTTAGCAACCATTAGATGTTCTATATAGTATGAATTCAATTAAATTCGGATGCGCTACATCATGTTGTTATTAACATGTGATCTACAGTGTCAGTTATGTTGCTTTGGTTCCATTCTTAACTCCTCTCCCTTGGCCTCATGGGATAGTAAAGTGTTCATTGAATGTTCATCACAGTATTAGGTCATACAGAGATGTTTCCTCTGCTGTTTTATGAATACTGTGAATTTGGATATACTGTCTTTATGAGTGAGTCATTGAGTCATTCATTGAAATGATTTGTCTAAAAACAGGACTACTTTGTGTTGCTTGGAGATACAACAGTGTTGTTTGAAGCGGTTTTCCTTAGCAGCGCAAAAATCGCCAACGTAACTGTCAATATTGTGTCTAAAATGTAAGTTTAGACATTTTCTCAGCAATAACTTCTTGTTTATTGTTGTGTAAAAGCAACATCACTCTTGCAATCGTGAAAATATGTAAGGCCATGAGAGCTCACAATGACAGCAATCTCTATAAATCAATAAGATTAAAAGTTGGGAGAATGCAGGAGCTTTTTTTTCAACTGAAGCTTTTCATATTTAATATTGGAAAAAGACAAGCAGATCTAAAGACAAATGTCGTCCTTCCAATGGTTATTCCTCAAGTCCAAAACCATATTCTCCACAGGCCACTTTACATTTCATTTTACAGCGGTATGAAAACCCACTTCTTTCTCAGTGGGTGGTAGAGGTTTTGTAAGGGCTTTGGGAGCGTTCTCACTGGGGGAATCCCAGTCGCGTGGAAACAGCAGAGATTTCTAAGATAAGTCTTGTCTAAATGGAAGATCTGTAGAAGGAAGTTGATGAACAACTGTGCTTTCCTTTCCAAGATTTCTATCTAGGAATGTGCTGTGCTTTCACCTACCACTGCAACGTGAGCAGAAGCAATAATACTTTTTTCATATATGAGCATTTGTAAGAATATGCTTCCAGCTAACAAAACTGTTCTAAGGATGTTTCGCTAACATTCCCACTTAAGTTATGATAATGTTGTGTTTGAATGTCCTCAGATTGTTCAAAAATGTATTTATTTATTGCATAATTTTGCAAATATTATGGGAATATTACTTATGACTTTTCTCAGAACCATCTGAAACAAATAGTAAGTAGTAACGTTTAAAAAACACAACAAACTGTATTTACACAACACCGTTTTCAACTAAAAATGGAAAACTTTTTATGCTTTCTGGCCATTTACACAACAATGGCATTTTTGGGGGCCTGAAAACACAAACTTTTGAAAATGATACCATTATCATCTCTGTGTAAACTACAAAACCGCAAATTTGTGAAAATCATCTGCATGCACATTACGTGCTCAGTCTATAGGCGCAGGCGTGTAGTGTTTCTTTACAAAGTGACATCGCCAACTACTGGCCTGGCATGCATTATACAGTATTTGTAGTCATTTCTGTGGATCCATGTGAACAGGGATCATTTTGACACCATTGTCGTCTCTACATGGAACTTTTCAAAAATGCAAATGAAAAAACTTTTTCTGTTCTTAGTACATCATTGTTGTGCAAATGTACCCTAAAATGTTTCAGAAAATTGTTCCATGAATAAATATCACACAAGACGGAGCCAAAACCAAATAACCAAATAAGGCCACATAACTTTGAGCAAATGTTCAAATATTTGTTACGAGGAGAACATTATGAAGAGCCTTGCTAGAATGTTAGCCAAAGCTCTGAGAATGTTACCTGTTAGCTGGGCTTTATGGTACATAACATTTCAGTATAGTAAAAAGCAGAGGCGGACAGTAGTTAAGTATTTTTTACTTTGCTGTAAAAGTACTTTTCAAGTGTCTGTACTTCATCAGAGTGTTTTTCTTTAGAAAATTTTACTTCACAACATTCCAAAGCATAATATTGAACTTTTTACTGCACTACGTTTCATATTAAATATAATTTAATACTTAATTACATTAGAAATCTATTACTTTCTTACATTTACTCAAGTAAAAGTACTTCAAAGATTTATTTGAGTACAAGAAAGTACTACATTTGTAATTTTCTTAAGTATTAAAGGTAAAACAAACAACAACTTTTATTTATGAAATGTAGTGCAGTAAAAAGTATGATATTATGCTTTGGAATGTAGTGAAGTAAAAGTTTTCCAAAGAAAAACACTGATAAACTACAGATACTTTTTAAATTTACTTGAGTACAGTAAAAATACTTCACTACTGTCCGCCTCTAAAGCAAAATAATTGCCTAGAAGGCAAATAAAGTTCATTACTTCAAGTTTAATTTGCCATTATCAAAAATAAGAGAGTGATGATAGCAGGCATCTTCAATGTGCCAGAGAGTGAATGCTCATAACCTTTTCAGCCCTCTCTTGCATAATTATGCCAGAGGGGAAGGCACACAGACATTTTTAACAAATAACCTGTCACCCAAGCATCTTTATACATTTTAATCTCAACATCCTTAATCTAAACTCCTTTAAAAGCCATTTCAGCTGAAGCAAGATATGCTTCCGATGCTCTCTCAGTATGACTGTCTGTGATTTACCCAGCCTGCAATAGTGTGATGCGATCTGTGGTGCAAATGATCTAATTAGTCAAATATCTTGACTACTCAGACCCAAGAAGTCTACATGTCTTGCTCCTTATGGTGGAAGCTTGTCAATTAGAGAGCTGTTTGCTTCGGCTAATTGTGAATGCGTGAAGGGTTCTTGTCCTTTTCGGGAGAGCAGAGGCCAACAGCAGGAGGCTGGGAAATAAGCTGCCCTCGTTTGGTAGAAAGAACAAGTCACCCCCAGGGCTTGAGGTCAGGTCAGCCTTGTTTTCGCTACTCTTTCAAACGCTCTTTTATCTTTCCATTGCCACAGGAAGGAGATGCATCACAGTGGATGAGGATATTTCAAATGGGGTTAAGGAAGAATGATGGCTTGGTATGACCACCTGCCACTAATGGAGGTGCAATATTGAGAGTGAAAATATGGTATATATATATTATGGAATTGATATGAAATTGATTGAACTGATAAAATCAAATTGCAATGAATCAGAAAGCCGATTTAAAGGGGTCATAGGATGCCCATTTTCCACAAGTTGATATGATTCTTTAAAGTCTTAATGAGGTCTGTAACATAGTTTGGTTAACATTTCTCAATGGTAGTGTAAAAAACTAATTTTTTACCCTGTCAAAAACAGCTCTTTTCAGATCAAGCCGTTTTTGTAGCATTTTCCTTTAAATGTTAATGAGCTCTGCTGACCCCGCCCCTCTCTTCCAAGCTGCTCTCAGAGAGACTGTTTACTTTAGCCGCATTCATCCGGAAACTTGCTTATTAGCACATTATTAGAAAAGGCGATTTGCAAAGATTCATTACAAAACATTATACTCACTTCTGTAGATGAGGCTGGATCACAAATGATTTGCGCGAATATTTCTGAAGGGCTCACTCAGGGCGGGTCTAAGGTAAGACACCAGTCCAGTCTGTGCTGAAACGCTACTGTCAATCAAACTATCGTGGGAGGGGCCTGTCTGTGTGACATCACACAGACAGGCATCTGAGATCG